TAGTCTAGATGTCGAAAAGAATACTATCTACCTCCACAACCACCACCGCCCTCACCTCCTTCACTATTTTGATGGCAACTTGGGAATCAGACTCCACCGTATGATGACTGGTGACTAATTCACATGTGACGCACGTGAATGCGATTGTTCATGGTATATGTCCAGAATGAGTGCATGATCGCGGATTGGGAGACGGGGGAAATAAAACCAAATTGACAATAAAGAATGATATCATTCAACAATTGGAGTTGCCCACTTGTAGAAAAAGTGTACGCCGTCATACAAGCAGCAATGCAATTTTGATTCAACTCGAGAAATTGGTCAGACCAGGCCTTACAAAACTTCAAAGAGAGAGAGAGAGAGTAGATTCAAAGACTGATTTTAGTATAGTGCAGTGAATTTTCTTGAATAACATGTCTTTTCAATTTTAACATTTAAACATCCGCACCTTTTAAAATTGTTGCCACGTAATTCTACACACAGTAGAGTAGATAGAGCCATAAATTTTCTCATGAATTGTTGCCACGTAAGATGTCTTTTCAGTTTTTTGACACGTGAATGTCTATGTATAAGGAAACGTTCCGCTCACGTAACATTGCATGGCCTGTAGCCACTCTAATATAAGGGCGGTTCCAACCTTAATTCTGCCGTTCCGTAAACGTAACTACGTTGACCGTCAGAAGATTCCGCATGGACCAAGTATTTAGACCAAAAACAAAAAAAGACAACCAAGCATGGGCACGACTATTTAGTCCAATCCATCGTTTTATTAGTGGTTTTTGAGAGCAAGGCCCAATGACTTAATGGGCCAAATGTATAAAGAATTCTTGGAGCCCAATGGCGGCTGTGAACATCTTCTAGGGCTCAGTCCGATTGGACACCGAGTCTCTCGCTTCTCTCTCCCACAAACGTCACAGAGACTTGAAGCTGTGCGATCTCTCTCTCTCTCTCTCTCTCTCTCCGAGCGACCATGCTTTCAGGGGACATACCGCCTAACCAAACAATATACATTAAGAACCTCAACGAGAAAATCAAAAAAGAAGGTAACTCAATCTATGCTCTATCTCTTCTTCCCTTTGTTTGACTACCTAGAAACCTGAGGAAACTGTAAGAAAACAAAATGCCGAATCTCTTACTTGTTTTAATTAACTCACCATAGTAATGTCTAGTCTGCAAAATTAATCGCAATTGAATCGATTATAGTGTATTTTCTTTTGTTTATTTTTATAGTTTGAATTGGCGAGTGCAACCACAGCAGATAGGGCATGGTGAATTTAGTGAAAATTCTGTATGGTAGTTGATTCAGAAACTATAATGGTGAATCTTCGTGCGAGTGTTGAAAGGACTATTGTTGGTTGTATATTGAATTGGGTACTTGAACTTACTCATATGAAACCTAGGTAGTAGTTGAATTTCATGAATGATAACCGGATACTAAGGTTGCATTGCAGTTGTGAAATTAAAAGGATGGGTTTTGATTTAACGATTTAGTTTACATGATTTGCATAAAATGCTAAAAATGTGGAGAAAAGAAAATTCTGATACTTATTGTTGTAAATCAAGAACAAAACACTATATGTATGTCTTGAGTATTTGAACTTTATCCCATTTCAAACAATCAAGTTCACGTGGGGAGTTCATTACTTTTATTTTAATGGTTATAAAGTCTCATTAAACAATTTAAATGAGGAATCAATTCAAAATCTAATCTTTTGAATCCACAAACCAAATGCAACATTAGAGAGTTTTGTGGTTGTTAAGTGATTCTGGTTTACTTGGGTGCTTGTTGGATCATAAAATTGAGAAAGTGACACTGTAGAGGCAAGATGGTAACCACAATTTTCTGCTTTAGTGGTCTTGACATCTTACTTCCTTTTTTGAAGTCGACTTTTGAATTGTCTAGCATAACAAGATATTAATCTTACTTTTAGGACTTTTGTATGTTAATAGTGGCATTCGTTTTGCTTCCTTTGCAGAATTGAAGAGATCCCTGTATTGCTTATTCTCGCAATATGGAAAGATTTTGGATGTTGTAGCTTTGAAGACACCCAAACTTCGTGGGCAAGCATGGGTTGCATTTCTAGAAGTGACTTCTGCCAGTAATGCTGTGCGTCAGATGCAAAACTTCCCATTTTATGATAAACCCATGGTAGGTCTGAATAAGCCCAGTTGGTAGCTTATTGCATATATGTGGGACATGTTTGCTAAGATTTCAACTTTCTGGAACCATGCAAAGCTTTCCTCCTAATCTGTATTCTTCTGTTAGGTCGCAGATTCTAATTCTGTACTCTTATGTTTGTGTGTATCTCTGAGCTGTCTATGTTTTTGTAAAGTTTGGGCTTCATGACTATATCTGGCATGCTTAGCCTTCCTTTTCTCTTCTTTAATTAGTTTATGATGTAGGCATTGCATCCCTTGAAAGATGTAGTTACCAATACCTGGAAGTTTGTTTTGAAAGAGAAATCTATTTGTGGAATAAAGATGCATTCACTGTAAATGTTACACTACACTCTGCTCTTTAGTTGTTTTGTTTTTCTCAAAGGATGATGTTTGATTATAATATTGTGATGTTCACATCCATTAAATTTTCTTTTTCTAAAATGTAAGGATGATCATAATTTTTTTTGGTGCAGCGGATTCAATATGCAAAAACAAAGTCAGATTGCATAGCTGATGCAGACGGAAGCTTAGGTCCAAAAGAAAAGAAAAAGAAGCAGGATGATAAAGGTGACTGAAATTACTTAGATATTTTGAATAATCTTGAATTTTTTAATTGAATATTTGATGTGTTTCATTAAAATTAGTTATGAAATGCATGGACCATTGTTATAGCATAAGAATATAAAGATTACAATGAATAAATGACTGGTGTGTTCCTAAGAATGTTGAGAATACATTGCTTCTACTTGAACCAATAGAGCTTAAGACTGCTAAGAATTCTGACGGATTTTGCATATGAGTTTGGTGAGTGGGTGCTAATATTACAAAATAGTTTGCCATTCTGAGTATCAAAGTACGGCCATTGTTTGTTTGGCCATATGTGTAGAAAAATTCGATTGAATGCATTTGACTCCTGTAGGTCTCTCTGCCCTGTTATGTGCAAGAGCATCAATGTATTATTTAAGGCATTCCTTTTTTCTTTGACTTGGGAAAATTTAAATGAAACTTGATCGACCTGGTCTAATAAAGTAAAGGGTTGTTTAGGTAGGCTATATTTACAAGGTGGCTGATAGATAATACTAAATTTTTTAGTTTATATTGAAAAAAATGTTTGCTCAAATTAGATTCTTATAATATCTTATGCGAGTCGTGTTTTGAAATCAATCTGTTGATCCAGCTGAAAGAAAGAAGCGAGGTGATGAAGGGCAGCAATCTGCTATGGAAAATGGTGCAACTGCTGAAAATGGAGGCAGAACAGTAAGTGTTTCTAACACTATTATGCAGTGCCATTTGATCATCTTCTTTTTCAACTCTCACACTGTGAATGATGGACTCTTTTTTGCTTACACTCTGAGTGTGAAAAATTAAATTTTATATACAAAGTGCTAATTGATTCATGTAAATTGTATGTGTATCATCAGCAGGCCTCATCTCGGCAAGGCAACCCAAATGCACATGAAGCAGCAGCTCCAAACAGCATTCTGTTCATTGAGAATTTGCCCCACGAAACCACTAGTGCTATGCTGGAATTGCTGTTCAAACAATACCCAGGATTTAGGGAAGTCCGGTTGATTGAAGCAAAGCCAGGCATCGCCTTTGTAGAGTTTGAAGATGACATTCACTCATCAATGGCCATGACTGCCCTTCAAGGCTTCAGAATCACTCCTCAAAACTCCATGGCCATCTCTTTTGCCAAGAAGTAACTGAAATAAACTCACCTTCCTATCTTTTGTAGTCAAGTGTTGTTTTGTTTTGTTTCTTTCGTTGTGTTGCGGATATGTAATAGTCAAAAGAGTATAATCTTACTGTACTCTTGGTGATCCTCAAGAAACTGAATGCAGAATCAATTTATCATGTGTTAGGATTCATATGAAAAATGACAAATGAGCAGAGACGCAATCAAACTCTTGAACCCAAATCCGGGTGATCTTCAGTACAAATTTGCGTCTAATGCAAACACAATCCAACCCTAATAGAGAAAATATCACTATATCCTGATACAGATTCGTGATTCCGTTAAATATAGAGAACGGTGAACCCGTTGATTTAACCGGGAAAAATCCCCCAAATAGATGAAAAATTGGTCAGTTGCATGTGACGTCATGGGAGCGTGAAATGTGTCCTGTTAAGTACCATGTGCACTTCAACCTGTCCTGTCCTGTCCTGTCCTCCCTCCCTCCCTCCCTCATATGTTACTTCCCCAGATGAGAATGAAAAGAAGTCTGCCCTGCTGCCCTGCCCCCACCTATTATTAGCAACCGACAGTCTATATTTCGTAGAATCGTAGTACCAACTATGACCCCAGCCATTCCTTTCTCTCCACATGTTTGAGGATGCTTCCTATAGATATAAAAGCACTTTTGTTTTGTTCATAAAAGCGCTTTTATTAGAAGATCGTCAAAATTTTTACCGAAAATCCAACTAATTGCTAGTCCGTACTTCTCCTTAAAATGATTTTGTGACTCAAAATTATTTTTCTGTCATATAATATCAGAAGCACTTTTGGTTGTTAAGAAATACTTTTGGGATTCGTTTGTGAGTGATTTTAGATAGATTAACAATCATCTCTGCTTCTCCTCATAAGTGATTTTAGCCCTCCCGTTTCATAATCAATTTCAAACATATCCTAAATCCTTTCAAAACACTCAAAAAAGAGAAAATTATTAGAACATGTATATTGCGTTTTTTTAAAAGCTGATTATTTGTAACGAAATTGTAGGCCAAATAGTTAAAAACATTTACCTATACATTTGAGATCCTAGGTTCAATTTCTCCTTTTCACTATCACTCGTAGAGAAAAAAGAACTTGCTGATCATTCAATAGTGCCTCGAGGTTACTAGTGTAATTTCGCAGGCAGCTCTTCTCCCCACTCTCTCTCCAAATCCACCGTTTTTCTGTTATACAGTTAGTTACCTCTACCTCAGACTCTTCTAAACTTGGGACACCAGACCAGAGCCACCATATCCATGAAGAAGCTCAACAACAGCAGCAACATGACCAACCTATTTGATTTCTTCACCGATGAGATCATCCACACCATCCTCGACCATCTAAACGACGACCCATTTGCCAAAAAGTCCTTCTCTTTGGTCTGCAAGTCCTTCTACTTCATCGAGCGTCTTCACCGCAAATCCCTCAAGCCCCTTCGCTCTGAGCTCCTATGTAGAACTCTCCATCGCTACCCTTCAATTTCTCACCTCGACCTATCTCTCTGTCCACGTGTCGACGATCCATCACTCACCTCACTCTCTGTTTCATGGAAATCGACGCTCCGTTCGATCAATCTCTCGCGCTCCAGAGACTTTACCAGCATTGGGTTGCTGCGATTGGCTACCAACTGCTCTTCTCTGGTCGAGATTGACTTGTCCAACGGCACTGAGTTGACTGACTCGGCGGCCAAAGCGATCGCAGAGGCTAAGAACTTGGAGAGGCTGATTTTGGCGAGGTGTAAATTGATTACGGATATTGGGATTGGGTGTGTGGCTGTTGGGTGTAAAAAGCTGAGATTGCTTTGCTTGAGGTGGTGCTTACGTGTCACTGATTTGGGTGTTGGGTTGATCGCTATGAAATGCAAGGACCTTCGGAGTTTGGATCTCTCTTGTTTGCCGGTAGGTTTTTCTTTGTCTCTGTCTCTCTCTGCATTTTTCTGGGAGCTATTTTATCTGTATTTAATGATGTTTATAGCTCCATTGAGCTAGTGATTGACTAAAAATTAGTTATTATTGAACAGTTAAAAAAAAAAAAAAAGAAGTCTTGTGCTTTCCTACATTTTCCAAGCATTTTGGGATTATGTCTGTTGAATGCTGATTGACCAGACTTCAGTTAGGTAAATTTGATTTTAATGTTGTTTTTACTGCAATTTTTCACTTTCAACTCTGGTCAATATGCCTACCCAAATGATATGGTGTTGAAGCTCAAGTTTGGGATTTGGTGATCTGAACTGTGCTGTTCTTCTAGGTGTTGATGTTAGTTATTGTTTTTCTGGTTTGGTGCACTGGTTCTGTTCACTTTGGTGTATTCTTTTAATATTTATTTATAGCTTGGTGGGATGTAAAGGGTTTTGCTTTCTTGTATCAGCTTGCACTTTCATTATCAGATTCATAATATGGTTTTCCTGAAAAGTCATCTCAGATGCTTTGTGTAATATAAGAAACATTATCCCAAACTACAATGTTTTTACAATTTTTATGTAGGTCTCGTGACATATTTCTTCCATTCCTTGAGATTAACTTTATATGTTTCTTCAATGATATTCCACAGAGTGCATGATTCTTTAAAGGAGTAAAGTTGTCTTGGTGGATCATTAATAACAAAAAGTTGTTAGTAGTGAAAGGCCAACTGTAGATAATTTTCGTCAACATTGTTGGCTATGCTGTCTAATTATTATGACCACTGTCTTGTTGGTGAATTTGATTTGTTGGTGTAGGGTGACGTATTTGACCCATGTAAGCATAAATAAAACTAGGTAGAAATGCATTTCACATGTTCCAAACCTCTTTCCGGTTCCATTTTACTTTTTTTTTTTTTTTTTTTATCAACTTGAAATTACATCTATGCTTTTCTCTGTAGATCACAGAAAAATGTCTCCCACATATCCTGCAATTACAACATCTTGAAGATTTAATTCTTGAAGGATGCCTTGGAATTGATGATGAAGGCCTTGTGACCCTTAAGCATAGTTGCAAGTCCCTCAAGGTACATTTCATTTGCTTGCTGATGTTTTACATAAGTTTCCATAACTTTAAGACACTTATTTTTAGCAATATACAAGGGTTTTACTTGACAAAAGGGAATCATATTTGTCCACCATGCCCAATTTTCTCAGACTTGATGGTGAATGCCCATTTCATTAAAGTCTTCTATTTTATCACAATTCTATCAGAAATCATAAGAGCCACATTCCAATTATCTCCACTGATTATTCACTAATTCAGAAATCTTAGCCGACGCTGGCTCATTTCAACCGTATGTGCATACACTCTTTACTAATTTCCTCTTCTGCAGATGCTTAATCTGTCAAAATGTCAGAATGTTAGCCATGTGGGTTTGTCTTCTCTGACAAATGGTGCTGAACACCTGAAGCAGCTTGTCTTAGCATATGGTCCTTCGGTGAGTCTGAAACCCTGTATGGTAATAACCCAAGTAATGAACTCTATGCTTACACTCTTTTCTGACACTTTTAATCTTGTTTAGGTCACCACTGACCTAGGAAAATGCCTACTTAATTATTCGAGGTTGAAATCGATTAGCTTAGATGGCTGTTTAGTTACATGTTCTGGGACAAAAGCCATTGGAAGTTGGTGTGCCTCACTGAGAGAGCTGAGCTTAAGTAAGTGCTTGGGAGTTACAGATGAGTGTGTCTCCTTCCTCGTGCAAGCCCATAGAGAGTTGCAGAAATTAGACATCACCTGCTGTCGCAAAATAACTTCTGCCTCTATAGATTGCATAACAAAATCATGCACCTTCCTCACTTCCCTCAGGATGGAATCGTGTAGCCTGGTTTCTGAAGATGCTTTTCTGTTGATTGGACTGCATTGCCAATTCTTGGAGGAATTGGATGTCACAGATAACGAAATCAACAATGAAGGTTTACCTTGAATCTAACCTCTCCTTTGTGTAACTTACCTAACTTAACTTTTCTTTTCCCATGTAATCTTCTATCTGTTAATAATTGATACTCCTTCATTTGTTTAGGCTTAAAGTCTATCTCAAGATGTTCCAAACTTTGTAGTCTAAAACTGGGGATTTGCTTGAACATTACTGATGATGGACTTACCCGCATTGGAAGTGGCTGTCCAAAGCTTAAGGAGCTTGATTTGTACAGGTTGGTCGCTTTAGAGATCTCTAGATATTCTGTTCATTTCTTTTACATCTGAATCAATTGACTGCTACATGTATGGGGTGTTCTATCATTTGGTGAATTCAATGATCACTTGGCAGTATATTGTTTAAAGAACCTAGAAATTACATTCCTGTATGTAGAAAAAGAAAGGTAGGGGGTGGAGGATGGCTTTGCATTGATAATTTCGGTGACAAGATAGTGTATAATGATATACTTTAAAGAAAAGGAAACTGGATCTCATGCTGGCCTCATTATCAAATCTCTATTTCCCAGCTCCAATTCCGCAAGTTGCTGCAGATCTACATATCACCAGTATTGGGTGGAAATTACATTTGTTTAGTAGTTTCTCCCAAATTACTTTGGCATCTGCTGCTAAGTTCTCTGAAAGATTAATGCTACATCAAACCTTATTGTACCTGTTATAACTTTCACCTCTGATAACAATCTTTTTGGGTTTTCTTTCCTCTCTTTTTTCCCTTCAGGTGCTTGGGAATAACTGATGTGGGCATTGCAAAAATTGCTTGCGGATGTCCTACTATGGAGATGATTAACATTGCTTATAATGATAAAATTACAGATTCTTCATTAATATCATTGTCACAGTGTTTGAGGTTAAAGATACTTGAAATTAGAGGATGTCCTAGTGTCTCAACAGTGGGTCTTTCAGCTATTGCTGGGTCATGTAGGCAACTTGAAGTTCTGGACATAAAAAAGTGCTTCAACATCAATGATAATGGAATGCTTGCACTTGGTCAATCTTGCCAAAACCTCAGACAGGTAATTTCTCTTTCTACTCTCCGTCTGGATCATTAAAGTTGATGCCAAACTAAGACCAGAGGTTCATTTCTTCATGTGGCAGATAAACTTGTCATATTGTTCAGTTACGGATGTTGGGCTCTTATCTCTTGCCAGTACCAACCGCCTGCAGAACATGACTATTTTGCATTTGACGGGATTGACCCCAAACGGCCTTGCAGCTGCCCTATTGGCATGTGGAGGCCTAACAAAAGTCAAGCTTCACACATCCTTGAAACCATTGCTTCCAAAATATATCTTTGGGTACATGGAAGGCCGTGGTTGTGTGTTTCATTGGAGAGACAAAGCATTCCAGGTACTTTAATTCTTTCCATCCAGGGTATGCATGGAATAAAGATGACATATATAAGAACAATGGAAGTGAAAACAAGTCCGGTCATAATTTTAGAAATCTTTCCTCTGACAATTTTTCCTCATATCGATTTCCTTATACTTCCCTTCCTACTTTGGTTATTATCAATGATGGTTAAATGATAGGTGAAAGCATGCAATCAGCTGAAGTCATTGATGCATTGATTCCTTAGTAATTATCAAGTGTCTTGTGTTGGACGTGGTAGAATAACTGAGCTTGCCAGAGAATCATGATTGATAGGCAGTAGATCACCCGGAAGATTGTAGGGATTTCCTTTACGCCAATTTGTTAAACTGTTGTTTTATGTCTTGTTTTCAGGAGAAAATAGATCCAAATGGGTGGCAACTGCATGCTGGAAGGTCTCCTGAAGCTGCATAGATTGGGAAGAAAAAGTGAAAACCGGACATGTATAGTGCTTATAACAATGAGTCAATGACCATTAACGACATAATCAAGACCCTTCCAATTTGTTCAATTCTCCCAATACCCCAAAACAGGTACTAGCATTCCTCTGTTGTTTGGCACGTTGAAGGGGTGCTGCAAAAATACAAGTATATGTCTATTTGTTTTGTTCAATTAGAGAAGCTGGCTTCATGCTGTAACCTGCATGAACCGACCACCTTTAAACTTGACTATATCTTGCATTTGTTATTCTTTCCAATTCTGCTGCATATCAAACATCGAACATTATCTAGCTAATCTAGTCTTATGTTAGACCCAACAAGACACCATTAGTTTTATTTTATTAATCCAATCTTGCATGCAAGACAAGAGAAGGTCGATACTGGATATAACTTGGCAGACTGTTTCAGTCTGCTGGGTACACATGAGCAGGCAAACGAAGCTTTACAAGTGCAAGCAGAGGCTTAGTGAGGCTGAGTTCATCCTTTTACTCGGTGAGGTCAATTCTGGACTCAGTGGGTGGCACATTCCAACTAAACCCATGAAGAAGCCTAGCAAATAACATGACAGTCTTTGAAGTGTCAAGTGCAGTCGTTACGCATCCACACATTCCAGTGCTGAATGATTATGAAGTGCAGCTCTGTCTCTGTGAGCAAGACCGCAGACGATCATCTTCCTTGAGATGACGCTTGGGCATAAACTTGAGAGGTTCATCCCAGACTTTAGTGTTGCGGCCAAGTCATGGGTGGCTACGCAGCACATGGCTTCCCTTGGGGATGAAGTAATTGGCAACTGTCGTGTTGGAGAATGGATACGTGGGGGACATTAAAGGGTGCAATGGGGTGGAGGCGCAAGGCCTCTCTAGCACAAGCCTTGACATGGTTGAGCTGTGACAAATCTGACTCTTGGACTAGTCTTTCCCTGCCAACCACCATCCAATTCTTGTGTTGCAAAATATTTATGTTAAATTCATTTACGTATATGATAAAGAAAGAAAAGAAAAGAAATTCATGCATACATAATAATTAGCGAGATATAACGGGACATCTGCATTGGAGATTAAATTATATGCACATGAACGTTACACTAATATCTCAAATATATATCTGAGAATTCGGTACTAATTAGGTTTTATTTGACCTATATTGAAAATCAAACTCTACAAGAAAACAATGCTCCATTTGGATGGAGAGATTTCAAAGAAGGGATTTGGATTTGAGAATAAAGCTAAATTTGCTACAAAAACAAGAACCACATGAGATTGAAGGTATTTAGAATGACTAGATGTAGTATATTTGAAATGACTACATGCTAGGAATCATTTGAAATTCATTTAACTTATTCCTTCATTTCTTGTCCAAAACTTGGCATACATGAATTGTACTAGTCTAAACAAACAAGTTTATACATTATAATGTCATCTCAATCAATGGATTTGAAATCATTCCATCCACATGGAGCCTAAGGCTTTAGGAGTGATAAAAAAAAAAATCGTAAAGAAACGAAAATGAGATTCATCTTATGTGACATTAGAAAAACTTCATCACAGATTCTCGCTTTATGTGATAAATTTTGAAGCAAAAGACCATGTTTTCTAGAGAGAGAGAGAGAGAGGGAGTCACCGTTACTAGAGCTTTGATTTCTTCTAGTGACAGTAGTGGTTCCCCAGAACTGGCATCTTTCAATGAGACTAGAATGTCAAGCGAGTCCTCTGGGTCCTTTTTCCCATAACCAGCTTTCTCTTGTTGAACCCTCTTCAATCAGAGGGTCATGGTATTTCCTTGTACATGGCCTCCTTTTTTATCTTCTAATGGCCACCAAGGTCAAGCCCTCTCGGCATGTAATCTGATGCACACAATGAATAGATGTATTTGAGCAGAGTGGAAATGCTAACAGGCCGGCATAAGTTGCATCTTGTTTCTTCAAAAACTTGCGGCTGAGTTTCGGGCAAGTGAGGGGGAATACATGAACATCTCCAAGGTGGAAGCATGCGATTTCAGTGTTCATCTCGTCCATGAGCTTGTGCATCCACCAGAACAGGGTCTTGTTGATGAGCATTTCGAGGAGGTTGCCAACAATAGGCCAAGGCTTTAGGCACCTGGGACTGGGAGGAAGTGGGTAGTGTTGCTTGAACTTCTTAACGCCTGGACTGTCTGATCAAACATGTGAAGGCGATTGTAATGAGAAGAAGCAAGAAGGGGAGGCAGAATAGCTTCGAGGGAAATAAGGCAATGGCAACCATGACTGACTGTGGTTTAGAGAACAAAGCTGATCACCCAAGTTTTTCTCAGACTTGTATAGAAACCCTACTAGTGACTGGCTAGTAGTAACCTTTGGTTTTTTGGTAACCACTACCCAATTCAGTCAAGATTTTTTTTTACCACTTCCTTTAGTTACGGTACATACAGTTACTGCCTAAGAGTCAGTTGAGGTTCACTATTTGGTTTTTTCATGATAAAAAAACACATGTATGTTAATAATTTAGTTGACCATACATCTTTTCACGTGATCAGCCAAAAGTTCTTATTATTTTGTTACTGCTAGCTAGAGAGGTTTTGTAAGGTATGCAATGGCTTTGTACGAACCTTAAAACTTCCTCTGGGGTATTTTTATCTAATCATGCACTTTAATTAAGTTCTTTTATCTTTTTGAGATACAAGCGATATTGGAGGACGAAACATGACTTCATATACAAAGGTAAAATCTTCAAGATGCATATGGGTGTCATTAAAAAATAAAAATAAAAATCGTATTAGATGGTCATATAGACCTCATACTTGCAATTTGCTATTACCAATAATCACGTGTACAAGCGATGCATGAATTGTTACAGATACACTCAAATTATAATACATACATATGTTTAGTGTTAAAAGTTGTGTTTTAGTTTAGCACATTCATAGCAATGTATCGGTACCGAGGGTTATCTTTCTCTCGCATTTTCTTTTCTTATATTCCTTTTGTCTTTGAACTTTTCTTATTCTCTTAAAATATTAATATAT